GCATCTGGTGGCCAGAGAAAAAATCCCTCACAGCTTCCTCAACGTCAGTACCCACAATCTCCCAGCAAGACTGGAAGAAGAGAGACGAAAAACCATCCGGTCCGGAGACACTGTTGGGATCTATCCCAAACACAGCCTCCCTGACTTCCTCCTTACTCGGGAGGTCACAGAGGTCAACAAGATCGACTGACTGCGGGATGGTCGGAAAAAGGGCCGGGTCAAGGTGCGTAAGCAAATCCCGATCAGAGGAAAAGAGAGAGTGGAAGTAAGCCCTAGCCGACTCCCATATCTGGGACTCCTGGGTCACAGATGACCCGTTATCCTCAAAACTATGGATATACGACTTGACTCGCTTCTGCCTCACGAATCCCTGGAAGAAATTGGTATTACGCTCCCCCTCATCCACCCAACGCACAACAACCTTCTGCTTCCAGAAATCTTCCTCCATGAGGAGGCACAACTGGTACTCAGCATGGCAGCGACGCATCTCGGACCTATTCTCTGGCGAAGAATCCAAATCATAGGTTTGTTCCGCCTCCGCATATGCAGTCTGAGCTGCAGTAAAGCGCTGAGAAATGTCACCAAAAATCGTCCAGTTCCACTGCTTCAAAACGCGGCGGAGTCTCATGAGCTTCTCCTCCAGGTTGCGCATCCCATAAAGATGTGTGGCCTACTGCCAGGAGGCTCTAACAGTATCGTAATAAAAATGGTGGCGGACCCACATGTTCTGGAAGCGGAAGGACGCTCACCGGGGGGAACTAGAGAACCGACAACGAATCAAAAGGGGGGGATGGTCGGATCCAATTCGAGGTAGGTGCGTTACAACCGTGGTCGCAAACACCCTCGTCCACGCCTCTGAGTAGAGAGCGCAGTCGAGCCTCTCCTTGACTCCGACCCTCTCCCACGTAAAGGGAGCCCCTTCGTAACTGATGCAGAATAGATATAAGTATTATTATTATTATTATTATTATTATTATTATTATTATTATTATTATTATTATTATTATTATTATGTAGCGAAAGCGTGTACAAATGGGAAGATAAAAGGAGATACTCTCTCCAGAACACGGGATACTCTCCCAAAAGAAAACACGATCAATTATTTTCATTCATCAAATTTCACCTCCATAACAAATCATAACTCCCTTTAAATAAAGCCCTAACCCTAAACTTAGCTTATTCCCTAAGCAACTACTAATTATTAAATAATAATAATAATAATAATAATAATAATAATAATAATAATAATAATAATAATAATAATAATAATAATAATAATAATAATAATAAGGAGCGGTCCGACACACCACCAATGCGTTCATCGGGATGCAAAAAGATGTTGAAATCACCACTAATCATCCACGGTAATCCCTCCATACTCTCAGCAATCTCACGCATGGTGTCCCAGAGGTCATAACGACCAACCCTCGCACAGCTGGCGTAAACCAAGGTGTGGAAGATTGGCTCTGGAAGATGGGCGGCGGTGAGCTTCACGTGCAAGACTTGATCAGTATCTCGAAGGATCTGACAAGTGAAGTCACGCGAGTGGAAAAACCAAATCTTGTTAAAGGTGTTTCCCATCCCGGCATGAAAACCAAGGCGTCGCGAATATATGTCAAAAGAGGGGTCACGAGTCATAGGCTCTAAGAAATCCGCAAAGTCAAGGTTATGCTCACGAATGAGAGATCTAACATGAGCAAGGGTGGTCCTATTAGCCAGACCACGGGCATTCCATGTAAGCGATGTGACTGACATGTCAAATGTCAGTGGGACCGCCTAACTGGAGCTGTCCGTGGTTAGGTTGTGTCTGTAGGTCTGGTAGGGTCAGGGCTCGACTAGCAGAGAGATGCGCTGTCATCGATCTGGTCTGTGGTCTCCGGTGCTCTGGGATCTCCTGGGAAGGTCCTCCTCGTATAGGGGGAAACACCTGGGGTAGGAGGATGAGCTGTAGGAGCTCCAATCCCTCGGAGCTCTGCGTCTGTCCCTGTGGGGAAGACGGATCATACCCGCTAGCGGGGGATGAGGGGGAAGTGGAAGGGAGGGTCAGAAAGGGGCGAGCTGGTGGGCATGGGAGAGAGGTAAGGTGGGGGGAGGGCTCTACGATCATGAGAGCTGAAGAGGAAGGGAGAGCCTCGATACACAATGGGATGGCGGGAGACTCTATCTCATCTGCTAATAGATCATCATCATCAAAAGGGGAGCTGGACGATGCTCCCAGATGGTCGAAGGAAGTGTGAAACTCCTCCTCTGACTCGGAGTCAAGCACAGAGAAGCGGGAGTGGGTAGCTATGGGAGCTTACTGAAGGGACTGGTGGGGGAAAAGGCCTGTAGCTTTGGCCTTAGGCCTATCGATGTTAACCTCCTTGGGCAGTGTGCCCTCAAAGGTGACCTTGCCCTTACCCTTTTGCCCCTTCGGGTCGGGGCTGTGGGCCGGGACCCTGCCCTTCTTCTTAGGGCTCCTCGGGGCGATATTAGAACCTTGCCTCGCAACACGTCGTCGGAGGGGCAGAGCAGGTCGGGGCTTGTTGCCCTTAGTATAGCATTCTGCATCCCCATGTCCTACATGACTGCATAGAGACCAAAACGGTGGTACTCTCTCGTAGACCACTTTCTGGATAGTGGTCTTGCCCGCTTGGTCGAGCTCAATCTCCTTGATGAGCTCATCCCTAAGATCAACCTCTACGCACACCCGTGCGACAGATAACCTCGAGCGGTTTGCCGTAGCGGCATCAGTCTCAATGGGGTTGCCAATGCAACAGGCTAAATCCTCTAGCTAGGGGTAGGGGATAATCATTTCAGTTTGTTCTCGTTTATGTGCATGACAATAACTCAATCTTGACGAGTTGTTTTAATTATGAGTTGATAAAATTATACTTGATGAATCGTTATAACCTAAGAGTGACACTTAGGTTAATTTGTTGATGTAATCAAAGAGTGACACTTTGATTTGTGATTGAATTTTGATTTGTTGAGTTAGAGTTTGTTAATTCTACAAATTGCGACTTTTAGAACCGAGAGGGGAGGAGTCGTAGAAATAATCGATTTCATAATCGAGAGGGAAGAAATTGATGGAACTTGGCTCGTTTAGAGTAGACATGTTCGGAGACGTATTGCCTATGTGTTAATTGTTTCGTTAATTTGCTCTTTTATGTTTATCCTCATATGACGAGAGTTAGTGAGGTTAAATCGCTAAATGAGTTAGTTAGTCGAACCACTTAGCCGAGTTATTGATTGCCGTTAAATGTGTGTAGAACCGGAAGCGATTATTCCCTATACCCTAGCTCGTTTATCTTTTTATCGTTTATAATTTTAGGTAGATTATTGCCTTTTGTTATTTCTTAGTTGATAATTTTCCAACCTTATCTTGATTAGAATGTGTAGGATTTATTTTCATTTTATGTGTTCTCAACACTAATACTAGATTCCGAATCGCTTTCCTCGAGAGATCGACCCGGGAAATGAATCATTTGATTCGGTGTTCGGTAATAAAAAATAATTTGCTACAACAAATTCTTGGTAATGATTACAGTTCTGCTTTCAATACAACTACATTTTTTATTAGTGATGAGGCTGCGATTAAAGATGCAAAAAGTACGGCACTTCTGACAAGTTTCGAATTGACTATTTCGAAACACACAAAAGGAGGAAGGTTGAAGATCTTGAAGTGCAAACAAGGCGAACATTATAGAGGCAAAAACGTAGATGTTGCTTCTAGACATTCAAAAACCAACAAGTGCCAGTGCCCTTTTGAGATAAGAGTAAAGCGGCTGCCCGGAACGACATTCTGGATGATTCACACGTGTCAAAACAAAGAGAAGGGCTTCCACAATCATTCATTCGTTGTGTATCCCGAGGCCATCGACAGTTTAGCAGTATCAACCTAAAATATTATTCGTGATATGACTGCTGCGTAGGTGAGACCAGCAAATATTTTGACCGCAATCCAGGAAAAAATTCCGAGAGATCACGCGACTGTGCGACAGATATATAACTATAGAGACAGGCTGCGCAAGGAAAGTTTCAAAGGTAGAGACGTTACTACCCAGCTTCTACATTTGGTTAGGAGCAACAACTATATAGTTTATACAAATGTCAATCCGAACACAAATGCGTTGACACACATATTCATGGCTCGTCCTGATAATATGTTTTTTAAAAAATAGTAAAGTTAATAAAAGAATATTCAAAAATATTGTAATGAGTTTGGGAATAAATTTTTCGATTGAAAAAAAAAAATATTGTTTCACGCAAATAAGTTTGAAAATATGTTTTTCAGTTGGAGACTGTCCAAGATTTCAAATGTTCTACGTAATATATGGATAAATAATAATGTGACAATTGCCACGGCCCTCTACTGAATAGCGAAAGCAAATGCAAAAGCTCATATCTACAAGTAACAATAGACAAGTTAAAAAACAGTAAAATGAAGGTCAAAATTGTAACAACGAACTATACATTCAATCAGTTTTGCTATGGAACCATCAGATTGTTCGACTTATGAAATCATCCACATTTATTCACAAATAGTATATTGATATATATCCTACAATCAATACATTAACACATTAAGTAATTAATGACTAGAATTTTAGTATATTCAATACCGCGACATATGTGCTTTTCAATGGAAATAATAATAAAAAATAATAATAAATTGTTTATTGTTACAAAAAGAAAAAGACGAATTGCATCACGAGCAGACAATCTGGCTTGGGGAAAACGGCTATAGAAAGATTACACGAGTCACGGAAGCAATTACAATCCACACAGCTAACTTAGAAAAGATTGACAAACCAAAGAATGCCTATATACTTAAGCAAATACATAAAATTGAATTCAGTCTCTCTCACCTTCACTCCCACAACATACAAATTATGATACAACCTGTCACCTTATTGAAATTATCTGCACAGCGTAATCTGCAGCTAACTCAAAGTGCAATCTTATAATCCTCGTATTTTTCGAAAAGAAGAAAAAAAAATCCTGAAAAGGGCATTTGTTCAAATGAGACCTGCACTGTAAGGATTGTAAGGTTGCTGAACAGTCATAGCTGGTCCTGAATAAGGCTGGGCAGTGGCAACACCATATGGATTTCCAAAAGGATTCGCCTGCTGTTGTGATGGGCCAGCCATCATCATCATCTGCTGATGGGGCGTAAGGAAACCGTGTTGCTGGTTATTGTACATCTCAACAGAAGGTGTGGTGGAGGAGTAAAACGGGCCAGGCCCCATCATGGGATTGCTCATGGCACTTTGTTCCCATGGATTGTAGCTCGTGTTTTGGTTGTTTCTTCTCATGGCGTCGTCATACAGGCTCTCGAGTGTAAGTTTATCCAGTCCTCCACCCTTTTGTGAAAATTATAAGGAAAATAAGTATGAAGAATCTTATGGGGCTTCATCAATCGTGCCAAGTTTCAACTGCAGGAAAACAAAAATGGCGAACACCATACCAGTTTGCTGGCAGCAGCAGTGGACTCGGTAGAGCTTGGAGCAGTTACAAGGGCTAATTCCCAGTTTGAGGTCTGATTGGACAGAACTGGCTCAGTGGGACCCGTATGTTGAGTTCCACCTACAATGGCAAGATAACATTGTTGATTAATAATTTCAATGCTATCCTTGAGCTTTCACCTAGAGAGAGAGAGAGAGAGAGAGAGAGTAATAATAATACATTTTTTCCTAGTTTTGCATAACGTATTCTAATGCAAATCAGTATTATCCATAGAGTTCAAATTTTCTTCATTGATTTTTATATGTAATCTATATCTATATCTATATATATATATAAAGAGCCAACTTATTTACCGAAAATAGTAACAATAAAAGTCAACCAGCATTTATATGATTTTTTTTTTTTAATTATTCCCAATCAGCTATATATGCACCCTAAATTATTCTCAAATGTAGCTTAAGTCTTTTGTAAGTTATCGAACATCAGGGAGGTTTCTGTAATTCACAAACAAGAAAAGAGAGTAAACTTACCAACTGGCACAATGGCTAAAGCCAAAGCATTTTTCTCATCCAACTCCGAGGCAGCAGGACTAGGCTCACTTAGACCCTATTTATTTTGTGCAGAAAAAAATTGATCAATTGGGATTGGAAAGTTGAAGAAAGCAAAAAGACTGAAGGAATCTAGGATTAACCAGCAAATCCGGTGCGGATTCTGAAGCAGGAGCTTCAACTTTGACAGGTTCAGGCTCAGGTTCAGGTTCGGGTTCAGGGTCGGGCGGGGACGGTGGACGCACTTCTTTCTTCACCTCCGAACTATTTACGTACTCTATTGCTAAAACTGCTTTGGGCTTATCATCAGCCTGTTGAATTTTAAATATATCCGATGCATTTAGTTAAATCAACAAAATCTGAAACTTTTCCTACCGTAACACTAAATGTTTGTTGCGAACATGAATACATATACATCTAACAGAACATCACTAGAAGTATTTTCCTTTCGAGTGAATCACAACAGGCCAATAAGATGCCAGCTCAAAAACATTATAGAATGGCACTAACACAATAGAATGGTGAAAATATTGGTCGTCAATTAAGAAATATGTCATGACCAAATGAAATTGGTGGAAAAATATAGAGCTATTGTATTCGAAACCACTCAATCAGGATGCCTAAATAGTGCTAAGTATTTCAATTGTACCCATAAACAAATTATAGAGTAACAGACAAATACACCAAAACACTTGAACAAGTCTGGAGAGAACGTACGAGATCTTTGCGAGCTGTGGACATGCGTGGTGCTTCTCTGACATACTCTTCCATGGCTTGCACAAATGATGCAGGGGGCTTTCAATACAAATTTATCACATCACAAAAACAAGAAAATTAATAAATAAGAATACATGTTTTAGGTCAAGTAAACATTTATGTAAGAATACCCAGAAGTTCAAACCTGTTCAATCTTGATGTATCGCTCTCCACGGCCAACGTCAAGGGTTTTACATATTTCGTAGAACTCAGACAGTCTATCAGCCTAGATAATTCATTAAAGAAAAATATTTTTTTTTTTTGACGAAAAATGATACATTTGACAGCAGCAAGTAATACTGCTAAATCCATCATACAATATTTTTAATGGTGTACCTGCAAGCCGGCTCTTCTATATATATCCAAGGCCTTAAGAGCATCGTGCCTTTGCATCTCAAAGAACTTCACAAAATAAATATGTAAGTCTTTTGCTACAAGAATAAGATAAACTTGAGTACAGTAAAAGTCTTCAGGTACCTTGTCAACCAAATTAACAGCACCACCACTTATTGCGTTGTAAATTTTAATGCTTTCTGAAGCAACCTGTTTTTGTGTGTGATATACATATATACATATATATATACAGGGATAGGGGGAGAGAGAGAGAGGATAGGATATACATATAAGAAAGACAATGCATTGTGTCGGTCATTTATCTAATAGTGACAGTGATAGTAAAAGAGGAAAAAAAGGACTTACGTACCATGGAAAGAGCCAACTGAATGATGAAATTATGAGTTGCGGCTCCTTGCGGCTGTATGCCCAAAATTTAATGAGTTCAAATTTATAAGCAGAATATAGAAAAGCTAAATATGGAAATTATATTTGGAGCATTAGATTATCATAATACAAAAACAGGGGGTGATGAATTATCCATCATCATGAACTGATGGAATTTAGATACAACCTGACAGCCAAGCACACGGTGAAGTAGTTGTTGCAAAGCTGGTAATTGCTCGAGTAAATCTGGAGTGTCGAGATCTTTTGTCCTCTGCATCAAGATTTTCATTTTGACAGGAATCAGATAAGGGGAAGTACAAAAGTTCAGCAAAGATTTGCATTTAGTATGAATCAGATAAAGAAAAGTGCAAAACTTTATATCATGAAACGAATTTACAACAGAATTATGGAGACAAATAATTTCTTCTATACCATTTATGTGAAGTCGTGAAATGCACACAGTGACTATTACTAGCACTAAGCTTGAAACAGAGCATTAGGGTCTTCAACTTTTTCCAAGATGATAATACCACAATTTATGGATAAATTATTATGCTAACACAATGCATCTTTCAGAAGTAAGACTCGATATCAAAAGAGTGTCTCATCAGCTCAAGCCTAAAGCATAATGTCCAAACTTACTATATTCATTGTGCACTCATAAAATAAAGCTGTTAACATAGAACCAAATGGTATGGCCTTTGCAAAAAACAATCTTAAGATTGACTAACACTTGCAAACCATAACACAGGCTAACCCAAGCGGGAAATTGCCACTATACTTACAAGAACAAGAAATAATACATAATTTGAAAATTCTAAGTTAAAAATTACAACTAGACCAAAAAAAAAAAAAAATGGGGGCAAATATAATGGAAGATGAAGCATCAACAACAGAGATCTATAAAATAATATAAAATAAAATCCATTTCTTAATAGGTCAAAGTTAAAAATAGGCAGATTCTTTTTCACAATATTACAAAGTCTACATGTGACATGACAAGAAACAAAATTTAATAATTATTAAATTTAATCAAAGAAATGAAAATTAACGTAGAAGAGTAATACAAAAAGAAATATCACCACATTATCACGATCTGCCTCTATGTCATACTTCAACACTCTGAAACATTCCAATCTTTCCTCCAAAAATAACGCATAAGACCGCACCCAAGCAGAATAATCCCAAGCTGGCGAAGTATTAACAAGCAATTTAGAAATGAAAGGGATTTCATTGTTGAAGCTTGTGATAGATTAGCTAATATTGGACAAAGCCAATACCATATTACCATTAGGACTGGAGTCATCCTTGAAATGGGCCAAGTTTAGCATATGGCTTTTGCTCCTACCATAGTTGATGATTTCTTCCTGGAACGAGGGGTCCACCTCTCTCAATGCACGATGGATGACGATCAATGTTTTCAAGGCAACCTACAAAGTGAGATCAAGGTAATTAACAAGGATCAGAACTAGACAAATCTATTGATGGCAGAACCAATATTTTTTTTTTTTTTTTTTTTTTTGGGGCTACCAAACTAGAATTGCTTGTGCCAAGAGAGGCAATAATATGTTCAAGAACCACCCAGAACAATCATAGACACACTAGCACGGACATGGATAATCACAAATTTAATATCCAATATACAAATTTGCAAATGAATGAAACAACAGCATTATATAAATCCAAGTCAATGAAATCTCATATGGTAAAGAAAATTATAACAAGAGCACCCTCAGCATACTTCGCATTACTCTAAAATATTTAACTAGTTAGAATGAAAATGATCTATATTGCAGAAATTGGTTTACAATTGGACGAACAACGTATCATGATTTTACACCGTTGTACGAGATAGTGAGAGCAAGTGTTAAAAATCAGTTGAATATTTAATTCGGTTTGAATTAAATTGTTTAAATTGTGTAGAACAATTCTAAGTTCCGAGTAGATTATTCATAGTGTATTTATTTTCTCAAAACTAATTTTCAGTGAGTGAGAAATAAATGATTTAGATAGTCATTAATGGGCACGTAAACCATTGATTGTGTGATTGGAAGGGTCCTATCCCACATTGATTAGAATAACTCTCTTTATTATTATAAAGAGAGTTGGAGAGATACAATAACAACAAAGTTATGCACTACATGTAGGTGTTGGCTCCGGCCATACACACGCTCCGGCTGACCGGCCGGCTTGGCTCAGGCACGGGAACGTGCCTTGTTTGACTTTCGCCTTGGCCACTTGGTATTTGGCACTTATATTGTCGGCAGGACTTGAGCGGCCTTTTGGACGGTATAGGCCAGTGTTGGACTTTAGCCTTGGGCCGAGCACCTATAGTCTTTTTGTTGTAAATTTATTTGCAAAGTTGTGGCCTAATATTAAAATCCAAACTGGCAATTTTTCTATGGAGCCATCGGATGGCTCGACTTATGGAGCAATCCACACTTATTCACAATTAGTGTATTGACACGTGTCCTACAATAAATTCAATTTGGACAAGTGTTAATGCAATACATTAAGCGGTGGATGGCTAAGAAAACCATCCGATGGCTCCATAGAAATTTTGTCCAAACTGAATTATATTTGACCCATGTTACCTCCACTAGGACGTGCTTGACTCCACGTGACTGTTTGGTAGTTTTCAAGTGGAGTGATGGTGTGTTAACACTTGAAAAGGTCTGTTCGTTTTGATGCCCATTACAACAACCATGACCTGGCTTTGCTTGCCCTTTGCCCTAATCTCCTACCTGGTTAGAAATCTTATGAATAGGACATGGTAGAGCTGCAAAATGATACTCATGCATCATATGAACTCTTAACATCTGAAAGCCTCATGCATCATATATAATGCTCAATTCTTTCTCCCAGAGCTCGGAAGACCAAAGTGCTACAACTTCTGAGATGTAGTCGTATTTTTTGGGACGAGACGGCTAAATTCGCCAACACATTATGAGGCGTATTCGTCTTCCAAAAAAAAAAGGCAACTCTCACCATGGGTGATTCTCTTCCCTCATCAAGATCGTTTGTATTGGTATTTTTTGTTTTTAGTTCAAGTTGTAAGAATTGAAATATAATAGGTTCATAGGTTTCCCGTTGACTCGACGTCAAGTAAGATTGTTCTCTTTTCTTATAATGCTATCCATTTTGCTTTTTCTCCTCATTTACCCTTTAGTAGGTGAATGGAATTTTTCCGGAATACACTTATACATTTGCAATGTATTGCATTTTGATTTTCCTATTACCTATTTGCGCCTTTGATTAGACATCCGAAGTCAGACCATTCCGACCACTACCACTGAATTAAATGTCGAACTAACTTTCATAAGATTGATGAATTCAGAAGGGGGCACTAAACAACACAAAGATGGTGAATCCATCCCAAGCTATATGAAGTAAACATGTGTAGAAGGAGAACTCTATATGAGGAAAGAGACGTTCTTTGAACCATGTGTATGGAAATATAATGACTGTTGAAGACTTGAAGACATAAGTGTGCTAGTTAGAGGGAACTTTCCTCATTCGTTTAGCCCCTACCTCCACTACGTATTGAATATGAAATATATAACTATTTCATCATCATCATAAAAGAATAAATAAATAAAAATCTCCGCCATTTTTGGTATAGTTCCAAAGAACTAAGTTGTCTTATCTTTTCAGTCTAATTATAAATTAATTAAATCATTCCTACCACAATCACACACATTAAAAACATTGTTTTGATAACATACCGCCCAATTACGAGTTTTCGACAATCTTCTAGCAAGGGCATGTATGCAATAAGCAACATCAGCTCGGGGTCTGGTGGATGATATAGCAGCAAAGACAGCTGAAATGGATAGTATAAACCATCAAGAAGGTATTTCCTTTCAGTGGCTATATATCATAACATCACCACAAAAGCAAGATAAATATAGGTATAAAGATTTTTAATGAATAACCACCTCTTATGTGCCTCTCTTTCGCAGGCCGTTCATGGTGATTTGTTGCCTTAACGATCGCAATGTCCAATTCCTGTAAAAAGAAGTACCCGAATGAAATCGGAAAACATTTTTTTTTTAAAAAAAAAAAAAGGTTTTAGGAAAAACTGAACACTACCTTATAGTCACTGTTGATTTTCGCCAAACTAACAGTGGTTGTGTCCTTCAGAGTACCAAGAGTTTTCCTTAAACTGTTCTGTGTCCCACCACTTGACATCCTCTCTTCTAATTCTACAATAGGATACAACAAGCTCAGTGAAATACTGCTTCATGAAATGCATATCAGCTTCCAAATAAACAATAATCTAACATTAAGAAAAAGAATAAGAAAAAGGAACGAAGGACGGACAGACGGGATCTCATAAGAACCCATGCTCAATGAAATAATTTTGTAATCCCAAAGGTTCAACATAAACTATGATGACATAAATCTGCGATGTCTCCCCAAAAATAAAATGCAAAAAAACGATGACCCGACGAAAGCAAAAACCCCAACAGTTGACGAAGTCGAAGAGTAACACAAAAAAAGAGCAATTAAATAACAAAATGAGTTCAATAAGAGGAAGCACATAAACTCCCACAGCATTTTAGTACACAATAAGAGGAAGCACATAAACTCCATCAATTCTGGACCTCCATCAATATAATAAATGCTAATCAAGATCATGAATCAAACTCTTAATACCATCAAATCAAAATCTAAGCTGACTGATCTATCTGCCCGCACAAGTAACCTCACAAGCATCGAATCAGTCTCTAAACAAAAATCTACTGAAAGCAAGCATACATAAAATCAAACCAGCAGAATAACACAAACAATTTTTAATATTGATCAAGATACTACATAGGATTAAGTGAACACTGATTCGGGAAAATTGACAAAAAAAAAATAAAAAATAAAATTGATAGATCCAAATAAAATTCAAGAATACCCATTAAAATACTCACCTTTCCCAGCTCAATCTAAGTAACAGCAGATGAATAATAGTAGAAAAACAGAGATCAAAGAATCAAAGAAAAGGCTGACTTTTTAGCCTAGAAATGAGGTGTGGGGAGGGTTAGAGAGAGAGAGAAGAAGGTGAATTTTTCTTGGTGGGCTGTTTCTAGAGAGCACTTTGAATTTATTCTGGTTGGCCGTCGGCGTCATTTTTTTTTTTTTTTTCAATTTTAATTGCAAAAGCACGATACAGTGATGCACAGAGTCCATATAAAATAGGAAGAGTTTGGTGGAAATTGTTGTGTGTTGTACAGCTTCTATATGCTGTCTCTGTCTCTACAGTCTGCGCCCTTTATTTTATTTTATTTTATTTTTCTTCATTTTTTAAGCTTGTGCGAGTTTCAATTTTACATAAGTTGTCTTTGCCCAAAATGAAAGACAATTTCCTCTCATTAAAATGTGGTAAAGTTGTGGGCCATCTATTTTAAGATAATTGCTTCGTTTGGGGGTGATTGGAAGAGAGATTATTTTGGTTTTGTTTTAATTTATTAGATAAAGTGGGTTGTTTTAAATTAAGTTGTGAGTTATTTTGGTTTTGTTTCGATTTATTTGACAGAGTGAATTATTTTGAATAATGTTGTGTGTTACTTTGGTTTTGTTTTGAATTATTGATGAAATGCGTTGTTTTATGTAAAGTTGATCGAGTGCATGTGAGTGAGATTTTGAGTTGATATAAAATATTATATAAAATAAAATGATAAAAATTGATTTCGTATGAAAGTAGGAGATGATGATTGGAAGTGAATAACCAAATCAAATAACCAAAGAAAAGTTTTGAGAATGATGAATAACCAAATCATTTCTCATTTAGATTTTGGTGATCGAGTTGTATGTGTAGAATATTATGTGATGTGATCGTCAGTAAAGGTTCATGAGAGATCGGTTGTGATCCGGGTTTAAGTCCAACCGGCTAGGCGTGGTTCATGGTACCTCCGGCGTGGATGGGTGTCAGGCGGAGGATAGCTCGACAAGAGTTAGGCGGAATACCAAGGATGATGAGGTAGGCGTCTAGACAGCCAGACATCTCAGCAGCTAGGCACCTCGGCTCCTAGGCAGCCAGACATCTCAAGGACTCTAAGGATTCAGAATCTCTTGACCTAACTAAGTAGTTCATACAAGAAAGATTCTTGTCCCACAAGGAGTCCTCAACCCCAACTATAAAAGGGGCACAGGTTCACACAGGTTCATTCATTTACACGGCACACACATACGGACTATCTCGTTACTCTGTCGTTTTCTCTTTGGACCAGCACTGACTTGAGCGTCGGACCGGGACCACCCCCGACGTGTTTTGCAAGTAGCGACGATCAAGGAGACACAACCCAGTTCGAGAGGAGCGGTCCAGCGGTTCAAGTATTTGTGGTATAGCATTATGGCATCAAGTATTAGGTCACAAATCTAAAGAAAATGTTTTGAAAATTGTAAATAACTAAATCATTTCTCATTTGGATTTTATTGATCAAGTTGTATGTGTAGAATAAATTAATGAAAAGCAAATTAGACATACATTAAAGAGATCTGCCGATAGAAGCACGAAAATCTTACAAAAGAAAATTCAAACTCACAAAAGTGATTTTTAATATTCAGCAAAATTAATATATTTCATTAAAACATAAAATGACCTTTTTAAAGGCTGCAAATGGTGCTAATGAGTTAATCCCGTCTTTGAGACTCATGATGCACTAAAGACACTCCTTTGACCTCATAAATAAACTTACATGAAGTTTGAATGACCTTTTGTGTAACACCCCGCTATAACTTATGTACACTAATTTTTTTGTGATCTATTCGACATCCCTTCATGGGGTGATGTAAAGAATTTAGTCACCATTATAATTATTTCTCACGTTACGGTTATCTTTATCTACTACATTAAATGACTCAATCATTAGACTATCCAAAGATCTGCATTATGAGATGGAAATGTAGTTAGATAAATAAGTAAAAGTCGTGAGATTTCCCTATATTGGTAAATATTATTGTAAGTTCATTGAAAGAGGATAATGTTCTAATCCATTTGCAAAGTTTCTTGAGATTTGAAATATTTGTGTGCAATACACTATAATTGAGACTCCTCAACACAATGGTGTTGCTAAGATTATAAATCGTACTTAAAAGATATGGCTAGAAGTATGTTGAGTAATTCGACACTAAAATTTCTTATGTGGATGCATGCATTAAAGAATGCTGCATATTAGGTAAACTGAGTTCCTAGTAAAGTAGTTCCTAAAGTACCTTATGAGCTATGGAAGAGTAGGAAACCTAGATTGAGGCATCTTCATGTATGGGGGTGTCAAGCAGAGTAAAAGTATATAATCTAAATTAAAAAAAAAAAAAATGATCCTGGGACAGTCAATGGTTATTTATTGGCTATTTGAAAAGTTGTAAAGGATATAAGTTTTGCAGCCCAAACCATAATACGATAATAGTTGATTGCCGCAATGCTTGGTTCATTGAAAATGATCAAATCAGTGGGAGTTTGGAACCGCAATGTTTGGATGTAAAAGAAACTCGGGTTGAACAGTCCAAACCCGGAAGTCCATCAATGGTTGTTATTGTTTTAGTTACAGTACCGTCATGTAACTTAGATGAGTAATAAAATGATCCAAACTCACTTGATAATGAATCAGTTACAAACAAACAAGAAGTTATAGAACAATCTATGATTGATCAATGACAAGCCATGAAAAGTTCTGGAAAAGTTGATGAATGCCATGAAAGAATAATTAAAGTTAATGGATGACAATAAAGTTTGAAATTTAGTAAAATTACCTGAATGGTCTGAAAAGATTGGTGTAAATGGGTTTTTCAAAACCTAACACGACTCTAAAGGTAATATCGAAAGATATAAAGTTAGATTTGTTTCTAAAGGTTACACCCAAAAGGAGGGCATTGACTACAAGGAAACAATCTCTCTCGTTTTTAAGAATTATTCCTTGAGAATTGTAATGGTCATTGTGGCTATGTACGATTTTGAGCTTTATCAAATGGACATACAGATCACCTTCTAAGTGATAAACTTAAAAGGAGATCTACATGAACTAATTAAAAGTCTTTGAGATCACAGGAAATGAAATGTAAGTGTGTAAGTTGAATAGATCGATATATGGACTAAAACAAGCCTCTTGTCAATGGTATCTTAAGTTAGTGATATCATTACTGCTTATAATTTTGTAGATAATACCGTGGATTGATGTATATACATTAAGTTCAGTGGAAGTAGATTTGTTATTTTAGTTTCGTAAGTCGATGACATAAAGGATATGGATGAAACGCCCTTGGTAAATAGAATACTAATATTCTGGAATAGATCACAAGGACTAAAATATTATCACATAAAGTTATAATTCGAGAGTTTGGTAATTAGAATGGATGGATGTTCCGTATAATTCCAATTCATAAAAGGGACACGTTTAGTATATAATAAATGTTCGAAAGATGAAATAGAATGAAAAGTGATGGAGAAAACCTTAGATATAAATGACTAGGAGTCTTAAGTGAGACAAACATGTGCTAAGTTTGATTACATATTTGTTTCTGGTACTTTAAACAAATATAAAAGTAATCCCTAAATGATTATTTAAATGCTGCAAAGAAATATCTAAGATATCTACAGGAATTAAGGAACACATTCTAACTTAAAGAAGATCGAAATTATTTGCTATAATTGGATACTCGGATTCAAACTTTTTCTCATAAAGTGTAATAAAGTCCATCATCACGAATTCTGATGAAGGGTTGAGTTTGTGGTGTGCTTTGAGGCCACAATTCACAATTTACTGCTACGAAACTTTATATTAGGACTTAGAAATGTCGACACATTGTCCAAGCCGCTAAGAAATTATTGTAGTTTTGTAACAATAATATTTAAGGAATGACAAGTATTCAAAAAGTGTGAATCACATAAAATTGAAATACTTGGTCGTACAAGTAGAAGTGAAGAAATAAAGTGACTTTTGAGCATTTTAGTACTAATTGCATGAGAGTGAATCCATTAAAAGATTATTCCCTATAACCTTTGCAAGGCATATAAAGAAAAGTGGGAATAACGAATGTGGCCTTGTTGTACTGACTGGTACTTAATGTAATTGCTCAATTACTGGTTTTGACACTTATTGAATTCAATTAAAGATGTTTGATTCTTCACATATAATATGGTCATTATGGTTTTTTTTAATTTTATCATATATACATAAAAGCTGGATGGCTTATGGTTATGGTACGAACAGTTTGTTCCATATTAAAGTAAAGTTGAATTAGAAATGATTTGTGGTACATGGAAGGGATCATGTCGCTCGAAGATTTGTGACCGCCATGACTCGATTAATTTCTGGTTTGATTTTAAACTTATAGATATATGTATTCAATCATAAGTTTGACGAAGG